CCAGGACATGGTTGGCTTTGTGGGCTGTGCTTTGAACGCACATTGCTGGGTCATGTCCAGCTTTTCGTCCACCAGTACCTCCAAGTCCTCCTCCATGGGGCTGTTCTCGATCACATCATCCCCCAGCCTGTATTGATACTGGGGGTTGCCCTGACCCATGTGCAGGACCTTGCATTTGGCCTTATTGACCTTTGTGAGGTTCACATGGGCCCACTTCTCAAGCTTGTCCAGGTCCCTCTGGATGGCATCCTGTCCCTCAGGCCTGTCAACCGTGCCACACAGCTCAGTGTCATCTGCAAACTTGGTGAGGGTGCACTTGATCCTGCTGTTTGTGTCATTAATGAAGATACTAAACAGTATTGGTCCCAATATGGACCCCTGAGGGACACCACTCATCCCTGATCTCCATCTGGACATTGAGCCGTTGACCACTACCCTCTGGATGCGACCATCCAACCAATTCCTTATCCACCAAACCGTCCATCCATCAAATCCATTTCTCTCCAATTTAGAAAGAAGGATGTTGTGGGGGACTGTGTCAAAGGCTTAACAGAAGTCCAGATAGATGACATCAGTAGCTCTTCACTTGTCCACTGTTCAGAGGCCTTGTAGAATTCTTCTCATTATTTCCAAAATATTTTTGGGAAGCTACTGTCAAAATAGCTTGATCGTATTAAATCTGTTTGAGATGGCAGTAAAAGGACAAAATAGTCATTTTTTCCACTCTTGATGATTGTGAGGTTTTTGCATCTTTCTGAGGTGTACCTCTTGGCTACTATAAATTGATAGCAGAAATTTAACTTCCTGATTTGACTTGTGTAGTATTCCTGACAAAAATGATTCTGACTCCCAGTTTCAAAGCAAGCTTAAAGATCAGCTTGAAAGCTTTAAGGAGTAGGTGTGAGTCAAGAAATTATGTGTAAAGGGAAGTAAGAAGCTTTGAGGACTGATGTGCTACAAGGAATACCTGTAGCTATGCAATCTGATTTAGTTGTGGAGTGTTTGTTTAATATCTTACTCCATATGCCTAGATGACACTTTATGCATAGCTCACGTGCAAAGGCATGACAGTGTGAGTTATCTCAAGGCTGAACTGTAAGAAAAACACTACTATATCTGTGTGGAGAAACTGATGGCTAATATATGTGAGTTACTTACAAGAGCTATCTTGCTATGGCATATATTCCAGCATAATTTGGCCATATAGACATTTTGATCAATTTTTTTTCACCTGTGAGGGCAGTTGAGAAAATAATGTTCTGATATAATCTGACACTTTATGTTTCCCTGTGCCTGTATAAAGCTTAACTTAAAACTTGCGAGTGGTAACACAGTGTACTGAGGCATGTAGTTTTGGTGCAGATGTAGAATTTTGCTTCTACTTATGGGTTTGTTGAATACACCAAAAATTCATTGGAGCACAGCATAGAGAAATTTCTTGTAATTACTCCATCATTTAAGCAAATACTTTGTGCAGCACAGTCTACCAATTTTTATCACCTGGTAAATGTCTTTCTGCAGATTTGGTGTTGGTCTTGCCATAACGGTGCTGCTCTTCTCAAAATGTCTGCATTTCCCAAAGAACAGGATGACAGCACTTCACAAATGCAAAAAGCCTTCTTGGATGGGTCAGTAATAGCTATTCTGTCCACAACACTTTGCTTGGTATGGACCTTGCTTCTCTTTTTCCATATATGCTATATCTTTAAGCTTGCACGCATCAGGAAACAAGTTCTAGATCTAAAAGTAGTTTTCTGTAGTGGAATGGGTTTAAGCCCTTGGCCTAACAGCATGGGTCAGTTGTGCAGGCCTGTAACACAACTGAAGGCTTATTTGCAGAAAAACATATCTATATGTCAGATGAATCTCTGTACAAACTGTGTGATGTGTTATCGGGTAAAGCAGCACCAAAGCCTGTAGGTCTTAAGTACAGTTAAAGTATCATTAGCTGATGGGCTCAATTGTGGTTGCAAGTAAGAGAAATCGAGGCTCCCTCTCTAAACATGGATTTGCAAGCTGAGTTTTAAATCTCTCTGAACTCGGCCGCCTTCTGAAAACTAGGTTCATGTTCTTAAATAACTTTAGATGAAGTGACCTAAAATGACTGAGACAGTCTAGCAGTTCACTGCCGCTACTTTCAAATGTGATGGCAGACAGCACTGTGTTTCAACTGACATAGTGAGCTGAATTAGCTCAGCAGTCTGAAAAATGCCAAAGTTAACATAAGGGAAAGA